CGTATTACCTGGGTTTTAGGCTGACTTGTGTTGGTGGGATATGAGGAGTGTCATCCATCCATTTTTGGGTCATGACACATATTTTTGTTTTTTTCTTAAAAAGAAAGTAGATGTAAATGAAAATTCAAAAGTGCACACAGTTAAATGTGTAGTAATGATAAACTATGATATAGATAGTTCAAACTTTTCTTACTACTAAAGTTTGGATAACTCAAATTCAAAATTAATTTAGATTTTCATGATTGGTTACATATTTTTGTGTTGGATTAACATCATTTACATTTTCTATTAGAGATGTTTATTATAATGACACTAATAGATTTTACCATTTCTTTCACATGACAGATGAAGGTGAAGATTCATATATGTACACCATTAAAAACCACTTTACGGGTTGGTGGGTGTATGACTGCTGAACTATGTTAATGGACATATAGCTTATTATGAGTTCTGACTATTGCAATGGAGATGAAAATTCAATTATTCAGATGAGGCAGTGTATGAAAAAGTTTAAAGTCAATGATAAAAAGGTGAAATTTGGGTTCAAGTTTGGCCTTATTTTGAGACAAGTATAATACTTTTGTCAACTGATTCAGATATATATAACCTTGTCTATGAAATACCTTACAGTAGAGAAGTGGAAATATTTGTTGAGCAGACGAAAGAGGACCAATGGAACTATGATATAGCTGATTCAGAGGGCAACCCACAACAAGGCGCAAAAGATTTGGTAGATTTGAATATATTAGAGAAAAGTGATGAGAGTGATGCCACATGTGAATAACGTGAGTCATTTATCGACTCTAATTATTTCTTTGAAGAAAATGATATGATTTTTGATAAAATGATTGACTGTAATGTAGAATGAGTTGGCCTTAATGGGAGAAATAGAGAAAATCAAGTTAAAGAAAAAACAATGGAGGTTAGAGTTGCCTCAAACATGATGGGTATGTTTCCCAATGACACTTAAGAAAATGATTGTGCTACATCATATGAGGATTTAATGAGTTTTCATGGAGATTATGATGATGAAGATTCTAAAAGATCCACTGTTTTTACTCCAACTAGGAATTTGGAGGATCCAAAATTTAAGTTTATGCTTAATTTTATTTTCGGCAATAGCAAAGAATTCAAGTGAGCAGTTGAGTTACATGTTGTGTTACAAAAAAAAAAAGATATCAAGTTTAAGAAGAACGAAAGTACAAGGTCAAAGGTAATTTGTAAGGTGTCTAGTTGCAAATGGTTCATATTTGCATCAAAGTCTAATCACAATGAACCTTTCAAAGATCAAGACAATAGGCCCATCTATTCCAATGTCAAACAAAGAGATAACAAGACTATTGACTCTGGAGTTTAGCTAAGAAGTCTGTTGAAGAATATAGAATAAATCCAAGTTGGGGAGTAAAAGACTTGCAAACTCAAGTGATGAGGACTCATAATTGTAGTATTACTCGAACCCAAGCTTATATGGCAAAGAGGAAGACATTAGATCTAATTACACAAACTAAAGAAGAGCAGTTTGATATGTTATGGGATTACTGTGCTTAGCTAATGAGGGGTAATCTAGAAACAACGTGTATTTTGAAGCTAGATGAAAATAAAAAAACAATGGTTAATGGTAAAAAATGGTTTTTGAGATTTTATATATGTTTTGTAACTTGCAAATAGGGGTTTTTAGCAGGATGTCGACCTATAATAGGGGTTGATGGATGTCATTTGAAAGGGCACCAACAGGGGAGTCAACTATTGACAGCGGTAGGCATTGATGGAAACAACAACATATATCCTATTGCATTTGCAATTGTAGAAGGTGAACTAAAGGAAACATGGAAGTGGTTTCTAAAGCTTCTTGATGAGGACCTATGAATATCACTAAACGCTTTTGCATGGACTTTCATTTCTCATAAACAAGAGTTTAATTCCAACATTTGATGAGATAAGGCCAGATGTTGCGCACAGATATTGAGTGAGACATCTACACAACAATTTCAAAACTGAAGGTTTTGGAGGATAAGCACTAAATGATATCCTATGGAAAACTGCTAGGGCAATTACAAAGCCTGAATTCTCCAAGTATTTGAAAGAGATGGAAAAAATAGATTTAAAACCCCCTGAATGGTTTATTAATAAACCACCTAGTCACCAGTCAAGAGATTTTTTCTCTTCTTTTCCAAAATGTGATGTGTTAATAAATAATTTGTGTGAGTCATTCAATAGTGTACTTCTACATGATAGAGACAAGTATATTTGGACAATGATTGCATAAATTAGGATCTATATGTTGTCCAGACTTCAAAAGAACAGAGATAAAATGATGAAGTATTGCTAGAGAATCTGTCCAAAAATCATGTTGAAACTAGAAAAAAATAAGGCTAAAGCGATTGAATGTATTGCCACTAATCAAAATTACAGAATATGTCCAAGAAGCCAAACATGGGTCGGCAGATGATCAAAATTGGTAAAATAGACGTCAAGAATCACCTCCAAGTCACATTCTCTAAACGTTGTTCAGGACTTTTCAAGAAACCTAGTGAACTATGTAGAATATGCGGGGTTGAAATTGCCATTATAATTTTCTCCCATTCAAGAAAAGCTTACTCCTTTGGGTATGCTAATGTTGAGTCCATTAATGATAGGTTTCTTTCACGAAATCCTCTTCCAATCTACAACACTTCATATTTTTGAGCTTCATAATAAACATGTAAATGTTTGTGAGCTGAACTTGCAACTCACTCAAATTATTGATGAAGTTGAAGGTGAGAAGAAAAAGAGTGAAACATTTGACCAAATATTTTTGGGAAGCCCCTATAGGTGATGACTCATGCAAGAATAGTACTTATTCATCTTTCTTGGCTGAGAATGATGTTGGGATTTTTAGTAATTATGATCTCAAGCCTGTTATGGATGCTACAAATTATCCTCATAACCATACTTTTGTTTTTGATCATCATGGGTTCTTTTAATTCTTTTCCTTTTCCTCATCTTTTGGTTAAATTAATCTAGCCATAATCTCCTATGTTGTATTATTTAATATATATGTTACATTATTAATTAAAATGACATAAATATAGTGATACCTTCTTAATTTCTATCATGTTACTATTTAACAAGACCAATTTAAAACATACACTACGATAATATAGAGATTCTTTCAGTTAATTAGTTCCACTTATTTATTGTCAATTACATGTAGCTATCTTCTAGGTAATAATAAATAAAATTTCTATAACTACCCAATTGGTAAATAAGTGGAATTTGCTAAAATTCTTGTGAACTTTTTCTACATGCTTTAAGCAGATTGAGTGACATTACTTTTGAGATACTACAAGCCGAAGGTGAAGTTGATTGTGAATTTACGTTATGTTTTTTAGGAAAATTACATTCTCTTCTATGTACTTGAGATAATGAAATACATCCTCGTAGAACAGTGGTAACACAAACTTTAGTGAACAGTGAACTCACTCGACAACGTTAAATCACATGTGTTTTTTTAAAGTGCCAGAAGAATAGTACAAGATCAGAAAAATTGTATATGAAAAAAATGAGAAAACGCTTCTCTATTTATACCCAAATAAAGATAGTATAACATGTGTTATTGTGTCTTATAATCAGAAATATCACAATTCTTCGAAAGAGTCACAACCACCCTTCAATATAAAACTATGCTATTCAAATTACATTTTTCAGAAAAAATACTTTATTTCTTATTTACACATTTTAATATCCAACAATAATCACCTTATAAAGCTTTGCAATGACTCTTTTGTTACATATCTCATGGACCTATAATTAATAATTACAAAAGTTTTACTCTTTGTTAACTCTATCTTCTACTTGGTAGTAACATTTGTTTTTAGAAATATTTTTTAGGGTTTTGCCCTAATTTTCTTGCCTCATTTGAAGTTTATTTTTTCGTAAAAGAAAAGACAAAACATTACCATAAATATAAGGAAAATATATTTTTCTTCCATATTTGGTTTATTCTTTCCTTAGGGAGAAATTCTGGAATCCTATAAATTGAAGATCCCTATTCTCAAAGCAAATCAGAACAGAATCCACAATGTAGTTGTTTAGAGAGTTTTGTTTATGGAGAGATTTTCTCTCTACAGTTTCGATGCTTTTAATTAGTTTTAATTATGTAGGCCAATTGGTCATATCAATAATAATATTATGTTTTTAGAATAGTTTTTGTTCTCTGATTTATCGTCTCTACAATTTGCAATTGTAAGCTTCTGCACGACGCCCTAATCGCTTTCGTAACCCAACAATATCTTGGCTTCTCAAGAATTTCTATGGTGAGTTTAGATAAGGTGTACCTGTAAACAAATGATACAAAAGAGATAATTAAAAGATTTGAAGAAATAGATAAACGTAAGCGATACATTGCCACATAAACCCATCTAGATTTTTCCATGAAATAGTTGTGTGTATAAAAAGAAAAACTTATTAAGTGAAAAATTGAAATAACTTTTCCAGCAAAGAAAAGGTTAGCCCAGAAAAAAAATACAATGAGGCAAAACAGAGAGTTTAGGAATTTTCTTTAGAAGGGTGGTTGCCCCTCTCTTGTTTTAGCCAATGAATTTCCAAAAAAATAAAAAAGCAACATATACTACAAGTTTTTTTTTGTCTCTGTTACTCTATTTATGTATGTTGGTTGATTTTCTCATTTTTGATACATAAAATTTGAGGCGGTAATGATGATATCTTGTGAATCTGGGCTAACTGAATCGGGGATGGAGACTACCGATCCGTATCTTGGCAACCATACTAACAAAACTTACTTATATTTATGAGTAGACTTAAACATTTTGCATAAATAGATAAAGAGACAAATTACACCACATGTATCAAAAGGTACTTTTGAGAAATCCAATTTCCATGAAAAACAACAATGAGATATTAGTTGTTTACTTTGCTCAACACAATCATTCTTCTGCGTCTTTGATACACGATTTTAAAATAATGAAGGGCGGAATAATAATTTTTGCACGTCATATGTATTAACACTGCTTGTCTTTTCCAGTAAGTTGTTGAAGATGCCGAACATGCTTCTTTCCTACCCTATGTGCCTCCATCGTCTTTTCAGAGAAGGTCCCTATTTTGCATGTCTCACACCAAAACGTGAACTCCCTATTGGTTTGCTTTTCCTGAGCTTTGTTGTTTCTGAAGTCATCTGCATTGTTATCTATCAACAAGGATGGTGGATCATTAACGTTTGGACTTGATATCAGATCATCGCAAGGACGCTCCACAAGCTGGATGAATTTTGATTTCTTTGGTAAAAAACCACTGCTCCAATTTTTGTTCTCCTCCTTGAGTTTGTGTTTTTTCCCTTGGAAGTGGGCATTCAAGCAATCTTGATTTGTTGTACTTACCTGACAGAGTTCACAATTCCACTCGGTCACTTTTTTCGCAGGCTTGTCAGCAACCTCTTCAATTAGAGTTATAGCTTTCCATTTTTCTCCAGAGAAAATCGTGTCAGGCTTAGCTTGTTTCAACACAAAAGAAGCATTTCTCAGAAATTTAAACACCTCGTATATGGTTTACGGATCTGAAAGCATTGACAAATTCATAAACATTAAATGAATGTATAAAAGCAATAGTAGCTTCTACTAAAGCAGGGAAAAATGGACTAGGGAGAAAATGTTTTGGAGCACGTTAAAATGAAGCATCATCTGACCTGATTCTGCTCAACCAGGCCATTACTCACTTGTATAAGAATGAATGCCATTACCATTGATAACATTTCATTTCTGACTGTTTCTAGTCCAGGAAATTATTACTAGGTTTGGTTGCTCAATTTAGAGATGACTTAAACAACATTCTGGTTATGTAAACTAGTCACCAGAAAACCACATACATGACTAGACGGAATACCTAAAGGAAGAAAATTAGGGAATCAAAACAAATGCGATGACACAACAATATCCTGAATAGGTTTTGATAATGAAAACATGTACCAGGTTGTCAAAAGAAGAAGAACAAACAGAGAAAGACGTGGGGAACTAGGAGGTTCTATTTAAGGAGATGTTTGCCTAAAGGAGAACTACTCTCCTTGTAGGACTGAACTAGGGTTTCATATAGTCCTGTAAATAGATAATGAGCAAATGAGAACATTAGCTTTCGTAATCATCAAAGGAGTTTTTCTAAGCAGAGCGTTGTAGAAGAAAGAAGAACTAGAATTAAGTTTTCTTTCTGAAGCTAGATGGTTGGTTAGTTCAGCTTAGAATTGTTGATGAGTGGTAATTATTCTAAGTGTGAAACTGAGCTTGAGAGGTTTGTAACAAGAAGTGAATGTGGCTTCTCGGAGAGTTTGTAACAAGAAGTGTGTTTGACTTCCTGGAGATCAAAGTTAGCGGTTATAGTTAATCATTACAGTTGAGGTACTAGAGTTAGTCCCTTTGATTATTGAGTTGTAATCTAAAGTTTCTCTTTGAAGTTTAGTGAGAAGTTGTTGAAATCCTAAACTTTGCAGCTCGGGGTTAGCAAGAAGGCTTTCCACGATAAATCTCTTTGTTATTCTGTTACGTTATTATTTTCTCTATTACTGCAAAAACCTAGTTCTTGTATTTGTTAGCTTGTTATTGTTTCTTCCATTGGTCTCAGAGTAGGTCTTTTCACTTAAAAGGTTCAAGCCTTGTAAATGATCAATGGTTGCACCACCTACCGCACATGAAGGAGCGTCATGGACAATAACACCACTATTCAGTGGAAAGTCTTGTGGATGGTGGAAGAACATATGATACAACTCAAGTCCAAGGAGAGAAAGAAATGGGATGTTGCTGAAAAGTTGGCAATTCATAACAATGCAAAGGCTAAGAAAATCTAGATCTGTGGAATAGCTCCAAATGAGTATAATAGAATTTCAGCATGTCCAGACGCTAAAGTGAATTGGGAGACACTGCAAGCAGCTCATGAGAGGAAAAGTCAGGTAAATAAATCCATAATTGATAATCTGAATAGGTAGTATGAGTTGTCCAGAAAAGATGGAAGGAAAGATAATTCAAAACATGCATACCCAATTCACTACCATCATTAATGAATTCTACTCACTGGGAGATATAGTACCCACTGGAAAGGTTGTCAGAAAACTTTTGAATGTTGTCCCTGAATCATTGGAAAGTAACGTTGAAGCAATTACTGAAGCACGTTACCTAGAAACTATGATGATGGATGAGCTTTTTTGAAATTTCATGACCTATGAGATGAAAAATAATCAAGAAACGGAAATAGGAGACAAAAAGAAAAGATAAGAACCTAGTCCTCAAAGCAACAAAAAAGGATGATTCCCGAGAAAAGAATATTTCTTTAATGATGAAGAGGTTCCAACAAATGTAGAAGCCTAGATCATTTGAGAAACCCTCAGAAGATGACCGACAAAGACATCAGAGAACAGTTATGCCACAAATGCAGAAGCCTAGATCATTTCATCAAATTTTATCCCTTGTGGACTCTGGAATACAAAAGGAACAAGCTAGAAAAAGAAGAAGAGATCAGGAACGATCAATACATTCCTTCAAATCATAGACTAAGAAATCAAGAGGCCATTTATCTTTGAAATAGGCTTTTGCGGCAACGGGAAATTCATCTGGTGAAGAATCTGATGAGGGAGGACTTGAAAACCAATCCTTACTTGCAATGGAAGAAACAGGGAAGTATGAATATCTTGTGCTGATGGCAATAACAGAGTGAGATGATGAAGAGATCCTATGTGAGTCCAAAGAAACAATCATGACATTAATCGCTGGAACAGACTCAAAAGAAGATGAAAATGACAAGATGTCCAAGGTAAGTTTTCATCAAATTAAAGAAAATCTTCATCTTTATTCAAAAAAGAAAATAAAATCTCTATTTTGTACCCTCATAGATGCATATCACTCAACGTGTCCTAAAAAATAGAAAATGTCAAAATACTATGCATCTCTAAGAGGAGAAAATGAGAATCTTAATCAACTTCTTCATGAAAAAATAATTAATGACTTCAAATCCTCTAAGAAAGAGAAAAATATTTAAAACAATGTTCGCATGGCTCTGGAGGAAAATGTAAAAGTGTTAAGTAACAACGTGCATTCTATGACTAAAAGGAATGAAGTTCTCGTTGAGGAACTTCAAAAGACAAAAATGGAATTAGAACAGAATATGAGATGTACAAAATCCTCCGCAATGCTTGGTAATATCCAAAAGATTCAATCATCAACTAGACAAAATCTTCAAATTTTGAACCCATGAAAATTAAATCCTAAATCCTTCACTAGGGAATACATGTTTCCAACAACCAGAGATTATGAGGTTACTTGGTATTCATCGAGATTGTTGTCTGTGCATGAGAAACTCCACACAGATGAAAGTAAATAGAAAATATATTAGTGATGCATCATCAACTTAACTTTGAATTGAATAAATAACAGACTTGAACATTCTAACCCACTCCATCCATCCACAAAAGCAGAGTGAAACAAAAGCAAAAAAGCTACTTTAATAACCTTCTTTTTCCATAATAGCAGCAATATCACTGGTTTCAAACTTTTTCACTACTTTAATTAATTTCAAAGTAACAACTATTGTAAATATTTTAATGTTCAAAACTAAAATAGTCATTATTCTAAAGATTTTCTAACTACTTTTGCATGAGCTGAGAATCTATCAGAAACTTTATCTCCCACGTAGGTAAGGTCTGGGAGAGCTAGTAAGGGCTTAAGGGTTCATGCAAATAAATTACATTGTTAAATTATTATTTTTATGTATATAAAATAGATGTTGACCCCCCCCCCTCAAGACTTCTTCGTGTGTTTATCTCTTTAAATTTTGAACCCCTTGAAATCCGTCACTGAGTAAGGTCACCTTCCCCAGACCCAACTCATGAAATTTTATTGGATATACATGTTCATACTTCAATTTATAGAAAACAAAAACTTGAAAGAGCCAATGCACATAACCTTGGTTGATAATTTTAACCACTCAAAAAGCAAGAAAGACAACATGTTAAGTGAATGACATAGAGACCTGCCTGTGGAGTAAATCCCTCAAACAAACTAACTATAAAGATAGATAAAACAAATTTATCTACTCTGAAAATCAGCAATTTCAGAGTTAATAAACACGACAAACAATAAAGAAGAACACGAACCAGTAAGATTTTGCTAACTCTAGGGGGTTGCACTTGTAAAATCTTTGCCTTTGGACTTTGATTCAATGTTGAAATATTTGGTTCCACAGCACGGTGGCGAAAACGAGTCTCTGAGATGTGATCCATGTCATGTCTAGACACAACAGAGATGCCCATTCTCATCTTTTCCTTAAACAACATGGAATCAACCTGATTCATGAAGAATGAATCAAATCTATCTCCTCCAAACATTGCTATTTCTCTTTCCATCATAAGCTCTCTCCTTACTTCCAACTCCAACATTTGCTTTCGAGTAACTTCTTCTGCAATGATCTATTTCCTGATACGCTCCTTATCAATCTCATTCCCTATTGCCTCAATGACTCGAGCTCCTTCAAACCAACTAAAACAAAAGGGATGGTATATAAATGCACTTTTCCACAAAATAAAACAAGTTTATTTTTTCAAGACAAACCTGCAGGGATGGTGAGTTGAGTGGAACCTGAAATCTGATTAGAGGATGGATAGTTCAACACCATAGCTACAACTGCAAAAGTGTTTTGATATTTAAACCTAATTAAATATTTCTAACAAATATTCCTATATTCTTTAAATAGATTAAAAACTTTTTAAAGTTCCAATTTTATGCCCAAACAGAGTTGGATCTGACATTTTAGAAGAAGATAAGTCAAACAAAGTTGCAAAATTTTACCTTGGATTTGTTGCTATTGCTTTAGACAAAGTGGCTGCCAGTAACCTGTTTCTTCAATGTAGTTTATGTTGTGGCTTTTTCTCAGATTTGTCTAAGAAAATTATGTAACTCTTTATTAAATTCTTTTGTCTTCTTCTAACTAGTTTAGGTCAAACATATCATAAATTCTATGTAATAAGGATGCTTTGACAAAAACATGTCATCATGGACACGTGTCATGAAACCTCATGGTAAAATGATTTTCAAAGTTTGAATTTAATAAATATAACTTATTTATTTATTAAGCCCAATGATTTTCATATTTCTTTTTGGCTCTTTTGTTTTCTATTCCCTAACTTGCCTTAATTACCAATGGTTTATGAGGTCTGTTATCTAAAAGCTTTTCAATAGCTTCATGTTGTTGGAACCATATATGTCATGCCGTGTTGAAATTAATATTGATTGTCGCATCAAAAGCAAGCCGAATTGAAGTGTTTTTCACTGCAAACATGGACTCTATCCTTTTTTAATTTTATTTTGCTGGTATATGGTGGATCACTAATGGTCTCCATATGAGATGAAAAAGATAAAAATAATCTCCAAGCTTGAGAAACAAGTACTTGGTGCATCTTATCCTTTTGATAATGGTGAAAGAAGAAGATGAAGAGTTTAAACATTCAAATTTGGCATAGATATTATGATGTGTTTGAACCTTTAATTTCAATTTTGGCGTGAAAACAACCTCTTCTAGAAACTTGGCGAAGAAATGGAGTGTCCTATCCTTTCACCTCACTGACTTCTCACTACAACTTCACAAAATATGTATGTCTTGATGTAGGAGATACAAAATAGCAAGGCACTTGATCCTACAAAATAAGTACTCAATGGTATGGAATATGTCAAAAATACATATCAAAATACCTCATGGATTGATAAACCTGACATTACTACAAAAGTAGGGGATTGAATTGCTAACCTTTCCGAAGATTTTTGATGATTTTTTTTAAATATATATTTGCCCTAGGTCATACCCTTTCTCTTCTAAAAACCATTGTTGGGTGATAATGAGTGATTTTGGGAGTTTTCCCTACATTTACAGTAACTTACACCGCTATAGTGGCCCAAACCAACTACTTTTTTGTCCGCTCGATTTCTTGTATTTCACTTGTAACGATGGGATGTGTTGTTAAACTATGATATATTAAAGAATATAATGTGATAGTATCAAAATTAGTTTGATTTATAAATTTTAAAACCCAACACATAATTTTATTATGTATTTTAAATACTCATACCAACCCGGTCTCTATACATGGCTAAAACGTAAATTAATATGTAGTTCATTAATTCAAGTAGAGGAAGCTATTAAGAGGGTTGAAAAGTAGATGTAAGTGTTGTTCGAAATTCAGATAGAAGATGAAGTACCGCGCCTGCAAAGAAAGATAGAATATTACTCAACAAAGGTATAGTGACACCATTTCATTCTCTTTGAAGGAACTTGAAGTTAGCATCTTTCCAATGCACATATTATTTTCTTGTTTATGTGAATAGGATTCATTCTATAATCTAAAACACCAAAACCATGCAGCTATAAGATGAGCATAAAGTAAGTAATTCACTACATTCTAAAAGGTATAAGCATGAATGTAGTTCTAAGAAACAAAAAAACAAAGATTTTTTTAAAAATATTACAAATAATATTATCATAAATATATCTAAGATTGATTTTTTTTAAAAAAGAAGTGTATACATATGTCACGACCCCAAAATGGGTGTGGCGACACTTGTCTTATCGCACCAAGGCAAGTCAGCCTAAAATCCAAAACATGACGATAGAAATGCAAAAGATAAAATATCAATGACTTAAATGCAGATAACTTAGTCAACTCATAAATAACCCCAAAACCTGGTTGCCATGTGTACAAGTCACTAATGTAGTTCAACTGTATTGAAATAAATTACAAGTCTCAAATGTCTTTGTTTCTAAAGTAGAACAAGAAAATGATAAAGGAACAAGAGGGGCCGCTAAGAAGACAAAGAGCTACCTCTCAAGTATCCATAGAAAAGCCTCGGACAAAGTAGAGAATAAAGATAATCATGCAGATATGGGCTCGCAACCTACACAAGTGTAGAAGAGAGGAATGAGTACTAACAACATAGCACTCAACAAGCAAACCACTAAACACTAAGTAAATAAAAGCAGAATATAGGCACTCCTAATCGAATATCCACAAACTACAACTTGCACAAAAATTAGCCCAACCTGATAGTCCACAAATCACGGAACACATAGTTCAATAGGATATATCATCTCAAAAAGTACATATCAATCACGTTCAAGTATCAAGTACGCCAATGAATAGTCTCATAAAGTTGATCACAACATCACAACTGGAAATGATGTGCAATGCAATGATATGTCAAGTAAAGTGATGCATGTCTTTCTATAATACACATCTACTGAAATTCAGTCTCGAATCCATGGGGGACTTCCTAGGCCATGCATATGCCACGTACAGGCGTATGTGACCGATCTTAGTTTAATCTCAATGAGTCTACCACAAATGTATGGCTCGTGCCCTATATCCACTTAATGTTTTCGCAATGGGCGTGTTACTCAATCCTTATTTCCTCTCATCCATATCATTACAACACTGGTACATAATCAACACATATATGATAGTGCAATGATTGAATTGAGGATGATAATTAATTCAACAACAATACCCAACAATAATTAATCAAAGCATATCATAAAGTGAATATGTCACACCCCGAGCTACCCCCGAGACGCGGACACGGGACCTAGGACCACAAGTGATCCCAAGCTAACCCTGCTGGCATGATCATAAGCACACTAAAGATAATAAACTGATACGGAAGGTAAATCATAAATAAACTAAAAAGATGGGGAATACCCATATACTATAACTGAGATATATGAAAATTGATGAGTTTAATACAAACAAGTTATTAACTCAATACTAAGCTGAACCTAACTATGTCTGAAATAAGCCTCTAAACTAACTAGAAATGTTGGGACATGCCCCAACTAGATCTAGCAAATATGAAACTAAAGACTAAAAGCGATAAAGATAAACATGTCACTAGTCCTCGAAGAATGAGGACTCACCAGTAATGTTGTTGAACTGGAGATCGGGAACCGATCTAAACGTGATCTGGATGCTGAGAACCTGAACCTACATCACGAGAAGATGTAGCGCATGTATGCGTCAATACTTGAAAAGTACTGAGCATGCAGGATAAAGGAAAGATGAAATAACATATAATTGAACAAAGCAATAAAGCAATGAAATAATCTGAACATGATATAGAAACTAAATGTTGAGCTAACCGAATGCAATGACCAATTTATAACATACTGAGACTGAATACTGAATATACTGATAAATGGTCAATGCAATAGAATCTGACTGAACTGTGGGATCTACTAATAACCGACATAAAACCACATGAGCTAAATAAGGAGTCTGATGTATACACCCCATCGAGAGGACCCAATATACCCTGTCAGAGGTATAGAGGCATGCTGACGTGATCACTAAACTGATGTTGCCCACATAGGGGACTTACACCTACGTGGCTCATAGTTCTGGGACTATATGGGTACGCTGAACTCTAGTCCAACTCGGTATTATGCTACTCCCAATAAATTAAGTGGTTAACTGGTTATGGCTGAATTTCTGTAAATACTGGATAGCTCAAAACTGAACATGCAAACGGATAATGCAACAATTAATCTAATAATGATGCATTCATGAACAGAGGCATGTATAACTGAATACTGAGATATCTGGCCTAGCATGTGTAATTCAAGAACTAAAGAAATACATAGCTAGGTTTCTGAAATTTATGCGATAAACTGAGCAATAACATGATAATCTGATTTGGAATATTAAAATAACTAATTCATGATCATCTGTTGAAATTCTAAAAATCCTAGGTCTGCTCATAATCATGGAATCAAGAATCTGACTAAATTCTAGGGACCTAATGGGCGAAAGGAACCCACTAATGAAATCCCACATGCCTGGTGATGAATTCCACGGAGAAATCTTTCAATTTCGGGGCTGGAACTGATGGAACCTTGCTGCATTCTTGAACTAGGGTTCTTGACCTTTTTCTCCTCTCTTGATTCTAATTTTCTATGTTTTGATTAATGATTTTGACTAAGATAAGTTCTAGTTATGTTTCAAGGCTTAAACTGACTAAAACCTCGTGATTTAGGGTTTAAGCGACGTATCTAAGGGGTTAAACGAAATAGGAAAAGACCAAAAGACCCCTGAATTAACTTCTGTCGGAGTGACTGACGGACGGACTGACGAGCCGTCAATCAATCGACAGTCCGTTGATTGGAATCGTCGGTCGAGTCTACCTGATAGGGCTTCACTAAAATGAGCATAACGTTTTACTCGGATGTTGAAATTTAGCAAACTCGGTGGCGTTGGAAAGAGGATTCAATTATCTATCTAACCATGGGTCATGGTACACATATTTCATTTTTTTCTAAGAGTTATGACCATCTGAAGTTGACCCATCAACAATTTTCAGCTAACTGGTTGCTGACCCTCATCTACGGTCAGACCTACGG